GAAATGCGCCATCGTGGCCCATAGACGCAATTTGAGGGATGCGCGGGGGTGCTTTACACCCCCCAAAATTCGTATTAGGGCCCCCAAAATGTTGATAGCATCATCGCATTTTTATTTACTGTAGTATTAATGTATTATGCCATAGGTATTTGGATACATTTTTTTCTAAGACCTTATCATTTTCATAATAATAATAACCTAACATAGGTACCTATATCAGAATAATAATATACCTAGATAATAATGTCTTATTTTATAAATAATTGTTTATATTGAGATTAATGTGAAGGTGTTTGTATACAATTAAGGTGTATAAATGAAGGGGGTGTGAGGGGGAAAAGCCCCACCTGATCACTTTAGTCGACATAAATCTAGCACCCCCATACATTTAACCCAAATTGCGGCCAGTGCCATCGTCACAATGGTACCTACCTAAAATTCTGGACACTCGACATAAAAATACAATTAAAAATAGTAGGTAGGTGCCGTAGGTAGTTGATAAATTATTATTTATATACATACTGTTTTCACTGATTATGCAGTATTTATGGTACTGTTACACTCGTAACTGGTATAATATAATAACTATGATATATGTAATATTATTTACGTGAATACTTTATGGTCGTTAATATAGATATGTGTGCACAGTGCACACGTCTGCATGTTATGATATTATTATGTTGACGTGTACTGCACGTGTGGATATGTCTACACTCTACAGTGTGATGTGATTGTCGTAAATATGATTTTAATAATAATATGCAATATATACTGGCAAAGGGTGATTGGTACGAGAGACATACATGGGAATTGGGAACACTCGTTATTTAAAAAAGTGTCGATAAAAAAATTTTTTTACATAATAATTTTAATTTATCACAAAATAAACATTAAAATTAATATACTATGTATATTATTTACTATTTTGTATCGCTTAAACTTTTTGGAGTAACACAGCTAGCGTTATGTCGAAAATCAGGCGATTTGTTATTATTCCTCTCATCTAAACCGTAAATACCTACTTAAAACCAAGTTTGTGAATCAAATAGGTACACTAAAAAATATAAAATATGCATGTACTTATACAAAATAAGGATAAATGCTCAAAAAATTACTAAATACTCGAAATGATGTAGCATAAATACTTAATAAAATAAATTATGTTTATAACTTGAAAGAATTAAAGATGCTGATTAATAACCCTCGTAAAATATTAAAAATGTAAATAAACAAAATAGTATAAGTATTAAACTATATATAGTAATTAGTAGGTATTTTAAAAATAAATAGATAGGTCTATAATGAAAAATTATTTGACCATGTGCCCCACCCCACACATAAAACTTTAAAAAGGTGTACAAGTGGGCACTTTTCTACTGAACAGTACCTAGCTGTCAAGTTTGTCATTGTAATGGATGTGTTATATTTGAATTCAATGATAAATCATAGCATACGAAAAACTATTCTAAGCTGAGAAGTATTGTGTCATCCTATTCATCCTACTATCCTAGCATACCAGTGGCGTATTTAGGAATTTGTCATGGGGAGGGTCCAGATAATTTTCAGAACACAGAGCCACGGGGGACGAAGCCCCCCACACCACCCATTTACTCTTTATTAAATAAAATATACCATATTTATAAGGCGATATAAAATTGTCGAGTTTTTAATTATTAAATAATAATATGTACAAAACAAATTTAAAAAAAAGCGGGTGAGTGGATGTCACTCTGCTGCTGTACAGTTAGGGCCGTCCTTTGAGGGGGGCGTGGGGGGGTGTCTAACCCCCCCACTCATGATTTTTTAAATATTTAGTCGGCAAATTGGACACTTGGTAAAAGTTGTCGGCAATTTGGCATCGTCAGTATTTTAATAGTATTTTTATTATTTTCAAAATAATATATTTGTATATAATATTATATTTCTATAAAAGATAAGACGACGACGACGTCGACACTTCGATTACACCGAATGCTAAAAATAGATGTGTTTATCTACTATCTACTAGTGCATTGCGCGACTGTTGTACAACACGTAAGTATCTAAACTGTTACCCGTAGTCGTATGTATTGACTTATTCTTGGTATTATAAAATATTATTGTATCATTCTTGAAATTTGTTGCACATTTGCAGTCGATACTCGATAGTTATCAGTTGTCGTCTACTGACTACTCGTCTATTCGACTATTCGTCCGAGGTTAGTGGTAACGTGTTCTGTAGCTACCTACTAGAAATTAACTGTTTAGTCTTCTATTTATTATAATTTTAATATTATGTGATTATTTTAGATTCTGAGTGAAACGATGAATGTATTATTGATTTTACAATGATGTGTGTTTTTTTATTTTTTTTTATTTTTTTTTGTGTCTGTGTACACGATAAGTAGTAGAAATAATGCATCGATTTTCAACTTCAGTAACTTGTTCGATTGGAAAGTGAATATCGTTGGTGCATTGGGGAGGTCAAAATTTAAATTTCACAGTAGTTTTCAAAAGCGCCAGGAAAAACAAAAGAAAAATTAAGGAAAAACGGGAATTTTTACGCAAAATCTGTTTTCGAGAAAATCGATTTTGGTTTTTGGTGTAACTTTAAAACAAATGACCATAGATACATGAAATTTTCAGTGGTTGTTTATATTTGTATTTTCTATACAAGATAACATTTTCAAAATTTTTTTATGAATATCAATAAAAATTTATTTGTTGAGTAAAAATACTTGAAAATTTAATACAAGGCTCCTACTATATTGTTTCAAAGACAAATGAAAAATATTAAAAATCGTTAGTCACAGTTTTTTTTAAGCATTTAAAGTTAAAAAAATGACAAAATATGGAAAAATCACGAAAATATGCAAATTATTTCGAGTTAGAAATTCATAAAAATTTTTCTTTTTAAATCTAAGATATGAAAATGTAATACAAGATTCCTTATAAGATTTCCTACATTTATCAAAAAAAAAAAAATTCTATAAGAAAGTCAAATTAAATTTTTATGAGCGTTTGAAATTCAAATTTTTACAACATTGGATATTCACTCAATTTCTCATGTGGCGATTTCCTTATTTTGTTGTAATTCAAAAACAAATTACTGTATATACATGAAAATTTCACTGAATGTTTATGTTAGCATTTCCTATACACCATACAATTTTGAAAATATTTTGACTCTTCTTGAGCCGTTTACGGACATTTTCAGTTTTCAATTTTTTTAGTTTTTTTTTTCTATAAATATCAATAAAGTTTTATCTGTTGGGCCAAAAATTGTAAAAAATTAATACAAGGCTCCTGATATATTGTTACAATAGCAATTGAAAAATATTAAAAATACATAGGCACAATTTTTTTTTATAAGCATTTAAAGATCGCATTTTGACAAAATTTATCAAAATCTCGAAAATTATCAATCATCGCAATTAATAAATTATAAAATGTTCAGTTTTTATAGCTAAGGATTGAAAGTTTAAAAAAAAGATTCTCATAAATAGTTCATACTGTAGCCAAAAAATCTAAAAAATATATGAGCACAGTTATTTTTTACAGACATTTTAAGTTCAAATTTGGGACGAAATTACATATTAAAAAACCTAGCATACCTATTTTAGTTATTTTGTTGTGAGTGTATAATACTATTCGTGGGTACTTGAAACTTCTTAAGTACACTATATTATATATCTATGATAGTATCAGGGTTTGTTATTGATGTATAACGCGTTATAATAGTACCTAATGGATATTGTGATATGATTAATTTGGAATTTATTATAGGTCAATTTTTTTTAATACCATAGTTATGTATATAATATGTCTTAAACCTAGACTGACATACCGTCTTCGCTCAGAATCGTTTTTCTTATACAATGATATTGTATCATTGAATTCAAATTTAATAGCATCCATTATACAGTGACCCACTTGTAACCTACTGCACAGCAGAGCGACATCCACTTACCCACCTTTTTTTTTAATATGAATACCTAATACCTACGACCTACCTATATATTATGACCAAAATATTATAATAACCTATAATATTGACTATTATAAATAGTAGAATAACAAATGTAGAAAAAAGTTTTCTTGTCCAATGTACGGTTAGGTATATCCAGAGCCTTACTTAGGAACTTTGGAGGCCGGGACTTCTATTTTGTGTCTGTCCCTTAACTTGAATGATAAATTTGGGTTTTTTACTAAATCGCTTTTATAATTTAAATATGTATTCAATTTATTTTTTAAGATTATAAATAAATTATACCATAACTCATAAGTCTAACCTTATGACTGTATTAGAGTGCCTAATTCATGAGGTCAACAAAATTATGGGCTTACAAATTATCAAATACTTTACAAGGCGAGGGGCCCTGGGCAGATGCCCCTTCTACCTTGCCTTCCGCCGACGCTGGGGGGTGCGCTTTGGGTCTTTATTTGTTAGGTACTTAATATTTTTATTTTCACATGAGCAACTAATAATGTAAAGAATTTTTTTTCTTCTTTTATTGGTCTTAACCATTGGCAACTATTTGTTAGGGGAATTACGGTTGGTTAAGGGACACATTACATGTGTGTTTGTGGGTTGAGATTTGTCGAAGAAACCCTGATGGTCATAAATAAATGGTATAAATTAAATAATAATATAAATATAAATATAATATAGTAGAAAACGTATTCGAGCGAAGCGAGAAAAAAATTTTTCAGTCGGCAAATTAATAGATCTACCACCCCCCCCATGAATTGTTGTTCGGGACGGCCCTGGTGGTTACCGCTGGGTCTGTCCCCTCATCACTACGGCCAACGCAGGTTACCGTATCCGTTACCTTAAGCCTCAAGTCGGCGTCTACATTTTGTAACCGTAGCAAAGACGAAAAGACTACGGATAACGACATCTCAATCCCGCTATCTTCTACAGGGGCTGCTGCAGGTGTCATCGACGTAGCAATAGACGTTCCGGTACACGGTGAATCGATGGTAACTGCAGGCAACTCCGCGGACGTAACTAACGGCTATCCAATTTCGGGTGCATCGCCACTGCAATTTGCACCCACGGTCATATTGGGCAATGACATAGATCTCTTGCAGTGCACCGGCAGACTATGGAAATCGCAGTTTTCCAAAGGTTTCTGTCCATTTTCCCGGATATCGTCGACAGCCGGCAGTATTATATTGGGAGTAGACTTGCACCCGGTCTCTTCAGCTACAGAATTTTTAAGCAAGACCATGTTAGGACACGATACAGCCCTTTCGTGCACCTGCAAACTAGGGAAATCACCGATTTCCGAAGGCTTCTGTTTACTTTCCTGGATATTGTCGGCATCAGGTAGGTTAGGCATTGATTTCCATCCGAACTCTGTTACTTTGGCTGCAGAATTTGTCCACATGGCCATGTTAGGTAAATTATCCGTCTGTGAACCGACAAGCTATTGAAATCGTAACCATCTAACGGTTTCGGTCTGTTTGACTGAAGATCGTCAAACACCATTTGCATAATTTCGTTCTTGGACAGTTTCTGGTAAACGGACGAAGCTGCACTATTTTACATGTTGGTTTTATGATAAACGTTGAATAAACTGATTATAAATTATAATATGAAAATACGATTTAACATTTAGACGAAAGTGGGTAAATTTATTCGTAATGTTCGCAAGACGTAACAAATTAATACTGGTGAGTAATTACTGTGACACAGAAACGAATAATACATTTTCCAAACACTTATGACCTCGGCAACAAGATGTTTGTTGATTTTGTAAAACTGAATGTATCTTTTTTATTTTTTTTATCTTTTTTTTTAGTGGTTTTACAATGGTGTTAATTTTTTTATATTTTTATATCCTGTATACAACATTTCTACCAGTAGGAGTGCTTCGATTTCAACATATAGTACCTTACCTTTTAGCAAGTTGGATCAAGATGGTACTTTATAGAGAAGTAATTTTTCGATTTTCTCAATAGTTATTTAATGTCACGGTAAAAACCACCGAAAAATTACGAAAAACCCCTAAAAATTGGATTTTAATTTCTAACGCTTTGTTTATCACCATAGAAACGAATAAAAAATTATAATATTATAATAATAATTCAACTTACAGGGTATAATAAATAATAATAATATAAAATATCTAGACTGACAAACCGTCTCCTCTCAGAATCGTTTTTCTTATATAGATACAATGATAGAATCCATTATAGATTGACCCACTTGTAAGTTACTGTACACTGTACAGCAGAGCGACATCCACTTTCAACTACCCGCATCACCCGCTTTTTTTTACATTGTATAGGTACAACTGTACAAGTGTACAACAATTATTTATTATATTCTTATTTTTATTTTTTAGTTATACTGCTGATGTACAAAACTAAAAGTTATTTTATAATTTAAATGAAACCTATCATTTTTAGATTAATGGATATTTGCTATGTATAGTAGGTTAGGAAAAAAAACCACGAGAAAAAAACCAAAATGATAATATAATCATTATTTTTGCGAAATATATTTTTCCTTTATTCTAAATGTCTTTGTAATAAATTGGACAAAGCTGAGCACTAACTACTAACTAGTTAGTTTTAATTCATATTAATTTAGTTACATAATTAGTTGAATTTAATGTGTAAAATAATCTAATCTAACTCGTTAAAAATAATAAGTAGGTAACTAGTTATTTTTGTACCTAGTTTATTTTTTCATTTATTGAATGATTCAATTTCTTATTTTGTTGTATTCTATTATTCTAATGATTGATATTCCAAGAAATTAAGGTTATTGTCTACCTATTTGATAAATTTTATCAAATTAACGATTGACTGTTGTTTAATTTCATTTTTCATTCATCAATCATCACCAATAATTCAAGTTAGTTACCTACCTACCTACTTAATAATTAATTTATATAATGCATAATACTGTGTTCTATGATAATATATTAGTAATATATTAGTGATATGATATTATATTAAGTATACTTATCACTAGAAGACATCTTAATATCAGTATCATGGAATAAAAATATCATATCCGTTCGGCTTCGAATAAATAAAAAATTACATTATAATTTGCCGGCAGCCCGCTGAAATTAATTATGTTTAAATTAAAATTGTTTGTTCAATATTATATTACATTAGGTATTATCTATAGGTTATAGCCTATAAATTATAATGCATACAATTTTTAATAAAAGATAGAAATATTGTATCCAAGTTTATTATTCTCTTCTGAGTATATTATAATTCTTCAAAATACAATTGCAATTACACAATAGAGAATAATATAATTACAATAATATAGGGTACTTTGTCTAACTTAGTTTTATTTGAAGCGTACTAGCTAATCGCGAGCACGTTGTTGCCCGTAAAAGTGGCCACTCTTAAAAAAAATATGATTGTGCAACTCCTTTTGGGTATTATCCACTGCAGTAAGTGCAACTCAGCGACCTTGGTAGGCAATGTTTGAAAATTCGATTTGATGCAAGCTTGTACCTGATCTTCCCGAATAACCAATGGCAACCAATAATAAATAAATACTTATTCCTACAAATCATTTTTTCTATAGGCCATCAATAGCAACCATTATGTATATATAGGTATACAATTTACACAAATAATTTTGTTTTTTGCCTATTTTAACCCCTTAAAATCAAAAGCTTGCAAGTCTTTTCTGAGTGTACGGTGAAATTATAATGTTAATCTACCCTCAACATTTCAAATCGATAGCTCTAATATAGGTTTGGCTATGAGTATGAATCCAGTGCCTCAGGACAGTCTCGTACCAATATATATATTATTATATTATATATACAGAGATTATGACACCTACGGCTCACAACTCACAACTCACAACTCACAACTAAAATTACACAGTCAATTCAGGAGTATTAAAAATATGAATCCACATCAAAATATATAAAATAATATATAATCATAATTTTTATTATAAGCATTTTAAGTTCGATTTTTGTCAACATTTATCAAATTTAAAATTTAAAAATGATTTTGTAGTTAAAAAATTATAAAATGTTTAACTTTTGTAATTAAGGATTGAAAGTTTAAAACAAGGTTCAACGTAAATAGGTTATAATATATATAAATTATTTTATTCACAATAATATCAATAAGATAGGACTCTACACCCGCATGTGTTGTTTCCGTCTTACAAACGCGTAACAAACCAATAATTTATGCTCAGAAATAAAATTCACGTTTTATGCATTTAGCTTAAAAATTAGAGTGAATCGACCTATTATGAAATAGGAAGTTCTTTAATACGATACCTAATTCAGTTTTTAAGTGAGTTATATTATATAACTCACTTAAAACTCCGTAAGTCACCGGAGAAAGGTTTTGAGAAAAACTCGTTTTTGTGTTTTGTATTTTCATAAGATCACGGCGTTTAAGTTATTTGATTATTGATTGTATTATATGTTTAGAGTAATATTTCAGACATAAGGCATATTCGTCTACACAAGCTGAATTTCACAATAATTTTTTTTTTATAACCTCATTTTTATTTTTTTGGGACTTACGGCGTTTTTGCTTATGACGGCAGTATACGTGTATAATAAATGTAAATTAAAAATTCATAACTCACTGAAAAACTGAATTATTGTAAAAATACTTCCAACAAAACACCGATAATGTTCTTACCAATTACCATCAAGTTTCAAAATAGCAGGTCCGATTCACTCTAATTTTTAAAAGTTGAATTCTGAGCGTAAATTTGGTATGTCAAGCGCTAGGTAGTAAGACGGCGAGAAAGACATGCGGGTGTGACGTCCTCTTAAAATTATTTGCATATTATCATATTTGTATATAAATATATAATGATATATACTTTAGAAGTTTCAAGTACCCAATATTTTTAAGTTACAAGAAAATAACTAGAATCGTAATTCTTGGTTGTGTAATATGTCATTTTGTATACAAATTTAAAGTTATAGAACTTATTATAAACTGAGAAATTTGTACTATAATAAAAATGGTGCTTATATATTTTTTTAGATTTTTTTGGTTTCAGTATGATAATTACTTAGGTTGAACTTTGTTTTAAATTGTTAATCCTTAGATATAAAAATTTAACATTTTAAACATTTTTAATTGCAAAATAATTTTCAATTTGATAAATTTTGTTAAGACTTATAAAAAAACTCTAATAGGTAGGTACCTATGTATTTTTATAATTTTTTGATAACAACGTGTGAGGAGCCTTGTATTGAATTTTCAAGCTTTTTGAACTAACGAATAAAATGTTATTAATAACATATTTATAGAAAAAAAACTAAAAAAATTGAAAATCGATATAAAAATATATATATAAAATAAAAATATTTATAAATAGTTCAAAATGAGTTAAAATATTTTCAACATTTTATCAAGTATAGAAAATGATAAAATATGGTGTACATTTCAAGTAAGTACCTATCTACTGTTATTAGTTTTTGAATTACAACAAAATAAGGCAATCGCTTTACAAGAAAACCGAGTGCACAAATATCTAATGTTGTAAAAATTTGAATTTCATACGCTCATAAACATTTAGTTAGACCATGCATTTACTACCTAGGTATCTACCTACTATTTTATTTTCCAATTATTGATACAATTTATAATAATTTAAAGTTTATAGGTTTTCAAATTAAAATCTTCAGTTGTCTAAAGCCATTGAGCATTTTATGAATATTATTAAATCAATAACATTTTATTGATCATATTATATATAAGGTACAATACCTTTTTTTTTTTTTTTTCAGTTTGAACCGACGGCGTCGCGGGAACAGCTTTCGCATTACTTCCGCGACGCCGCCTAAGGTACAATACCTATTTAATAAGTAGGTAATTAAGTAACGTCGATGATTTAGGTACCTTTTTATAATTTTAAATTTTAGAAAAATTCTGCAATATTCTATGATTTCAGGATAATATGATAAATTCTAACGCGGATATTTAATATTTTAATGTAATAATAATATTATAATATTTAATCCTTTGCGATCGTTGTGGCGGTGTGGCGCGGGTGCATGGCGGAGGGTTGCGCGGCGACCTTGCCTGTACCCTACGGGTCCGGCCGAACGGACTCACCGACAAGCGGACGAACCGACGGACGGACCGCCGACAGCGATTGGTCGGCTCGGTGGGCGTGTCGGGGGGCGCCGGTTAACCAAACCTTTCCGACGGCGGCGGCGTCGGTACGCGGATGCCGCACGAGACGACCAAACTCTCCGCGACGTCGACCGTCGCCGCAGACCGCAGTCCCCGCGCTCACGCTCAGACATACGCACCTGCGCACCGCTTATATTCGTGTATCGTGTCGTCGTTGTGAATTTTTAAGCATCAATATTATTACATTTGTTTGTGTCGTACGAAATCGTTTTAAACAATCGCCGTATTAATTATCTATTCTGTTTTTTACGATTAATTGAAGTTGGCGATTTTTACGGATTTCACGTCGTTGTTGTCGCCGTAAAACGCAATAGCCTGCAGACGTAGGTGAAAGACAATAATATTGTTATCCGCATAATTATACCTATGTAAAATAAATTATATATACGCTTCGTGGGTACTCGCGGGTTTTTTTGTTTTCATTTTTGATTCGAGTGCAGTTCGATAATATCGTCGTATTATAATAATACTTATACTCATTACTCTGTGGTCGTCGTGTGTGATTGTTGGAACCGTTTTCGATCCATACGCGATATTGTAAATAAATGTGTCGGGCGCGCGTCGAGTGCGGACTATGAGCTGCACAGAGGTTATGTATCAGGCGTATTATCCGTATTTGTACCAGAGGTCTTCGGGCACGGCCGCTCCGCCGACTAGGGCGCCGCATCATCACTTCGCGCCGTTCACCCAATATGATCGGGTAAGTCATGTCTCAATATTACTGTCGCTTACCTAAATATACCCGTATGTCTTCAGGGTAACACAGATTTAGGTTATATCTGCGGGCGCCTTCAATACCATATTTAGGAGTTGTCCTTTTCATGGAAATTATACCCCAAATGTCCCGATGCCCGGATTGAGACAATTTTGGGCCTGTGGCCAAACATTCCATATACCAACACTCAATAGTCAATACTCACTTTCTTCAATACATTTTGCTTACCATACAACAAATCGATTATTCATAATATACATACATACTTATACATACGTCTGTATTTGTTTATCAATAGTTAATTTTTTTATGCATATATTAATATAATATTTTTTTTACTTTAACGGAATTAACGATTTATTAAATACTATCCTACATTCCTTCGGCTATAACACGATTGAACACTCTTTTCATGACACGATAGAGCAAATTTGTAGGCTTACCTATCCTTAGATGATATCAATTATTCAATTTTGATCTATATTATGCAAAAAATATTTATTTAAGTAATTATAATAATTCAAAATATGGTAGGTACGAGTTAAAAGTTTCCGATAAAATTATTGTTATGTTATTTAGGTATATTCAAATAAAAAAAAACTGAAACTTTTTAACGCACTATTTGACACGACTATACATAATCGAACATTATAATTATTTTTATTTATCTGATATCTCACTTATCTTATATTTCCCCCCCAATGCTCAGGGCCGGATTTAGGGTTGTGGGGGCCTATATAATATTGACAAACTTACTACAAAAGGTACTTATTTTGTGGGGGCATCTTATTAATTGAATCTTGTGGGAGCCCTGCCGAATTCCAATGCTAAATGTTTAAAACGTTTCATCTATTATAATGGTCAGGATAAAAGTAATAATTATTGTTCCGGAACTAATTTATTAATTATTGATAACATCGTCATTAAAGCTAGGCTCTGCTCGCGATTAATAATTGGTATAATAATACTTGAAAATAAAAAATTACAAAATTTCGCCAACGTCACATAAAATATTCTATGCTCATCGTGTTTCTAAATAGGTATATTACTTATGCTCAATCGTATTATGCCCATATACTCAATAGTGTTTTACTGATTCATACTAAACCATTGAACGATAAAATCAATGTGTAAAAAAAGTTAGGTATTTTTAGAATAGATATCTGGTGAGGCAGGTACCCAGTTCAATCGTGTCCGTGACTCATTGCATATGCGGGTATCCCATTCCTAATCGTTATGCACCTAGGTCGTCAATAAAATCATTGTGGCTATAATTTTCCCAATTTAAAATACAAGCCTAATCAATTGCCTATATTCACCTAAATTATAATCCAATTTAATAAACAGATCCTATTTTGATGTATAGATGAATACAAATTAGGATTCTTATAATATTATGTTTAAGTACAATTTTGCAAATGTATAGGAGAAAATACAATCAAAAAATAATACATGTAAGTTAGTAAAAAGTCTTTATGGTATCATGCATATAACCAAACATCCTCGGAACCTCTCCTGATTTAGGTATATAACTAGTTAACTTATAATATTTAGGTACCAAGTCTTGAGTATCATATACTTCAAAAACACTGTCAGATATAGATAATACAGTATACGGTCAATATTGGTCCCCGCATAAAAATGCTTCAGTCAATATAGAAATTCGCTAGACTAAGTCGGTGTGAAAAATAATGCACAGGGATGTTTAAAATTATAGAAATATGTTTGAAATGCTGGATAATGTGGGATAATTTTAAACTGGTCTAGTTTAGCGAATTTCTAGCTTGTCATAATTTTATCTCCGGCCAATATTTTTCCTTGAGACAACCAAAAATGTAAACGATAATACTTTTAGATTTAAATAGTACCCACCCGCCTTGTTAATATTATGTTTAGCCGACACCAAACAATACTCTTTTTTGTGTTTGAGTATTTACTGCGAGAGTATAATAATAATATAAATAATAGTATTATATTATTGTAGCACTGACTGATGGGTGTTTATTTAGGTAATTATATTTAGGTGTTTAGGCAATTAGGACCAGGGATGGATCAACCAAATGTTTTTTCTGTATTCATCAATAAATTATTTTTCATTATCGCCTATTTGTTTGTAAAAATCACTCGATTTTCATTAATAACCCATTGCGGAACTTGTTCAAGTCTATAATGAGTATAATTAAATAAATTATTCAATAGTTTATTTCGTTCTTTATTACAGACTTGCATAAACATTTACTAAAGTAATAAAACGGAATTATAGCTCTACATCCTTATCTAATTTAATTAAATTAAATTTTAACTTTACCTGTATATTATAAGAATTGTGGTTAAACCATGATTATTAATTGATATATTAAAAAAAAATCCTTCAAAGGCCCTCCACGCACACCCATCCCCTTTTATACCAACCCCTGTTTAGGCCTAAAATTATAGTGATGTTCTGCACCCTGATTAGGGCAAACCAAACCCAAATCAAACTTGTAATTTAAACTTGAACCGAATTGAACCATTCATAATTTATGCGGGCTTTTATATATCCATTATCCATAGGTACCTATATCAAATCTGAAAAAAAGAAAAATGTTGTTAAGGAGTTTAATGTATTGTAGCAATCTTAAAAACATATACCGTAGTAAATTTACTTTAAGTATAGTTCCAATCGAGGTTCCAATTGTATGTTGTTTTTTTAATATTAGAGTGAATTGACCTATATTATCTAACTTAAAGGTAAGTACATTACCTATCTGTTGTTTAATGACACATTTTCTATATTTAAATTTCAAAGTAAGATAATATGAGCATTTTTAAATCGTTATATTTCAGATACTCATATCCCGCTTAAAAATTAAAATAACGAAAAAAACCAACGTTATTAAGCCGATAATATTCTTTGTTCTTACCTCTAAGCTTGATAATAGGTCAATTTAATCTTATATTAAAAATAACAACATAAAATGTTTGTAAGACGGAGACAACACAGCGGGTGACCGGTGGCATCCTCTTAATGTTCGTAATTTATTTTTATTATTTTCATTTCTTTCACATGGTAGGCGGAAAAAAAGCCCACGGAAAAAAAGCCCAAGGAAAAAAAGCCCAGAAAAAAAAGCCCACGGAAAAAAAGCCCAAAAAAAAAAATACACTGAGGAAAAAAAGCCCACGGAAAAAAAGCCCAAGGAAAAAAAGCCCAAAAATATAAATATAAATGTGAACAAAATATAATAATATATTAATAATACATTACTATACTATAACAGATAATAATCATAAATAATTGTATAAGAGGCATATATAGGTAATTTTATAAAAGAAAATATTAAAATTTCAAATATGACTTATACATAATATATAACTATTGAAAATTTTTAATGTATTTTAATTTAAGAAATATTATTAAGGTATATTATTATATAGAGGGTTTGATACTGCCATGAACTGATGAACCACCTGTCAATAAATTGCATTTTTATTACCCAACTATTGATAAGCACTTTTACATTTAATTTAATTTATATTGTTCGGTACTTACCAATATAATTTATATATATAACCAGTCAAAATGTTAAAATTTATCAATAACTGGGTAATATTGACACTCCATATAGTACTCCATTACTTGGTTATTGAGATACTATCTACACGTCCTACTAGTACAGTTTTATCCAGTTATACATTTGTTATATATTTTATACTTTTGTTTTACCAATTTTTGTGAATAAGGAGATTATCAAATCAAATAAAGGTGGTAACAAAGGTTTTTACAAAGGTTATGTATATGTTGTAAAGTATATTGGCGTATCAAAAATAACCTGGAGGTGTTCTCAGAGGTGTTCAATGAAATGTACTGGAGAATTATACACCGATCTCAAAATTTACAGTATCACACTATACCCAACAAAATATTTATATTATTATTGTATTATTACAGTTGAAAATTGACTGACCTGCTGTGACTATTACTATTATAATTAACAATTAATTATTATTTTCATTATAATATATAATAATATATTATTATATTTTGTTCACATTTATATTTGTATTTCTGGGCTTTTTTTCCGTGGGCTTTTTTTCCTCAGTGTATTTTTTTTTTTGGGCTTTTTTTCCGTGGGCTTTTTTTTCTGGGCTTTTTTTCCTTGGGCTTTTTTTCCGTGGGCTTTTTTTCCGCGATTCCTTTCACATAACTGCATCTTATTATAAATTTAATATTTAGTTTTAAAAATAAAAAATAAATCGCGTATAAATAAATATAGCTACAAATAAACCGAAAGTGATTTATTATTATAATATAGGCATTTGGTTCGATTCGAATATTATCTCAATTTCCAGTTTATTTGAACCTAATTTAACACCGAATTGGCTTTTCGGTTCGGTTCTGTTCTAAAATCAAACAGTTTGATCCATCACTATCGATCTAGGTAAAACTACCTACTTAAAACGCATAAAAATGTACAATGGCAATAAATAAGTAATAGGTTATAGCCTATAAGTGCCTAACTACTATGTAACAAGTAACAACTTATAATAAGTAATAACTAATAAGTAATAAGTAATAACCAATAATTTTACAAATAATAATAAATAATGGCAATGCCATGATATTTTTTTTTAGATATAGTATTTGTATTTTGTATTATATATAGGTACTGTATTTATACTATAATTTAGTGCTAAATATATACGTTTATTATCCCTACAGGATAACTTAAACTTTTTTTTGTGTTTTTCACCGAACAGTGATATAGTTTTTTTTTACTATGTACATATAAAAAATAATTATAATTTACAAGTTTTAAAAATTCCGAATTCGTATTTTGAAGTAGGTACTTACTTGATAAATATAAATAATCCAAATTTCTAATGAAACACAATTTATTTTTGTAAATCTCAAACTTCTCAAACTCTCATTAAAAAATATAGTGTACTAGGTATAGCATATATTTTATATAACACAATTTTAAAACAAAATGTAAATTCTATGCTAT